AGAAATGGCAACGTACGAGCATTCTATTTATATATTCATGTTTTGTGTATGAGTGACAGTTACCATTCTCCGTCATTTTACATAGTAATTCATCTTACGTCTCATACATTACCATTCCTGAGGATAAAGGCCCTTCTAACTGAAGCATCCGAGGGAAAGGGATTTTCAGTTATGTGTTGTAACAGCCCCATTGCTAGCAATGTATCCTATCAGATTGACCTCTACACAATTCTTACTGGAAACCATCGTGATTAATTATTAATTAATTTTTCGAATTCTTCTCAATGGGCCGACTGACCTGTCTTTATCCTCACCTATCATCTATCACTAGTGCCTCGTCAGCGTAAACCGATAGTGCAGACGGGCTCACTATTTAATTTTCCTCCATTAAAAAAATACCGAAACATCCATGCAATCATGGCTACTCGGCGGTAGAAATGCAAGTTAGACGTAGATGTACATAGATTATCGTTGTCTAATAGACAAGAACAGCGCTAGCGCTGTGTCAGTAACGGTAGCCCTAATACGCAATATACGTAATAAAACATTTAATTAAATTGCAATATATTACCAAAAAAGAACAACGTTGAATCAAAAACAAAAGAAGCACAGATACCTAATTTGAAACAAAGCGTTCCAAAGAACCATAAAATCCAGTTAACAGGTAAAAAGGTGATCCTAAATAAACGGCTATATAAATATAAAAAGCGATCGGTACAGTGACCTAAGTCAACACTAAAGTTTACTAAGGACAAATACGTGCCGTAAGAGATGGTAATGAACTTGACTGCTGCCGTACACTGATAACGTATCTACAGTGTGAGTGGTGTAGCGAGAAGTGATTTACTCAACTACCAAAAAGTGGTTATGTTATAATGACAATAAGTTCCATACAACTACACTAATTATCTACTTCTCAAGCTAGGATATGTTAGCCCATTCCGAGAATCAAATCCGCGACCTTATTTACGAAAAGTGAAATATATACGATAGCTTAACACTGCACAAAAGAGATTTATTTAATAATTTTATAATCAGAACTGTATAAAATTCTATTTATTTAATTTACCAATTACAGACAACATACAGACTTAATTAAATTTGTTAATTTAATAATTTGTTAATCTCCTTACTGTTTTCTCGCTTTTCTTCTATAACTAACACAAGAATTGTTCCGTTTGGATTGAAAAATTATAAGATTGAATTATAGGCGAAAATTTTACCCAGTAGAATATATTATATATAAACTCTAGTACGTACATACTTGCTGCTGTCTTTAGTTTATATATTGTACTTCTAGATACAAAGCATAAGTTTCACCTGCAACCGTGAGAGTTCCAAATTAAACCGATAGATCACGTAGCGCAGCATACAGCTAGCTGCCACGTGTTAGGTGGAACTTTATACATAATAAAATATATATCGCTATTCTCCGCGGCTTTTCCGTATGGACCCCGTTTCATGTAGAATCTCCAAAAACTAATGGTGAGTAATATACAGAAATATCTATATGTATATTGGCCCAATAATAAATATATCAATTATGCAATATACGTATATAATATAAAAAAAGAACTCGCTTGTAATTAATATATGTGTATATTCGACTGGTATGCGCGATGTCGCAATAGGTGATCATTAGAGATGCGCGAATCCGAATGATTTTGGTATTCGAATAATTAGTAATATCCTATTATAATAATTCGACTACTAAATTACTAATTTCCGTGTTCGAATGATTTTACTAATTAGTAACTAATTATAACAACATCATTTCTCTATGTGCTTACGTTCATTCCACAGTCTGTATCCATTACTATTAAATAACTAAGTCAGCAAAAATTACGACCAAAAAAAAAAAAAACACCACCTACTGAATTATCAATTTTATAATACGTGTTGTAATACTTTCGCAACTTACTATAATATTATTTATTATATTAGACTTTACTAAAATTGGCAACACTCTTATCCCTTAAAAAATTAAAACATTCCAATGATCGGATCGACTTGGCTGTATTCGTGTCAACTCGTAAATTAACGACTATTAATGAATAATAATTAGTAGTTAGCTGACATTCTGACATTAGTAATCGGATGAATAAAATGATTTGAAAATCATTCGACTACTAATTTTATTCATCCGAATAATCCGAATGATTTGCTCAGTCGAACAATTAGTAATCGGATTCGCGCATCGTTAGTGAGAGTATAGATATTGGGTATTAACCATCTATACCAAAAACTCTTTTTCACTGGATATCTTTCACACTAAATATTTATATTTCATAGGTGCAGACAAATTTTAGTTACGCAAGTCACAACTACCTAGTCTTATGTTGAGTGGAATTTTATACATATTGAAATATATTTCCCTCGGCTTTATTCGCGTGGAACCCTTTTTCCAATTAATCCATAAAGAAACTCTGTTTTAGGTTCGCAGGTTTGTGTTAGGTTTTGAGTTTGTGTGAGCGTGAATCATTCGCATTTTGCCAATTCTGAAAGTGCTTTTTATATTTTTAAATATATATTAATAAAAATTGATTGCTGTTCATTGGTAAAAGCGTTATTAGAGAACGGGTAGAGAGATTTATTTAATTTTTGTAATAATCCGATAAAGGTTTTTTTATACAACATAGAATGAAAAACAAGCTGATGGCCTACCTGATGGAAAGTGGTAACCGTCGTCTATAGACATGAGCAGTACCATGGACATAACAGAGTATACTGTTTCGCCCATGATACCCCCCCCTGCGTTGCCATTCCTGAGGACTCAGGTGTTATTCCTCTGTACCCAGTAAATTCACGCCATATCCCACCTTTCAAACCGAAACACAGTCATGCAAACACAACTGCTTCACGGTTGAAACACGAATGGGACAGAGGTATCCAAGCAATCGACTTTTGTAATTTGGAAGGACAATGTCTGGCGAGTTATAAAAATTTAAAATGTATCTACATTATATATAGTACGAATATAAATGCAGTGTTTATAGCATGCACGCGGATTTTTATGCATACATACATATATACATATCTAGTTCTATATTTTTATGCATCTTATAATAAATATAATAATACAAAATGTACACAGGTGGACTTATCCCTTAAAGGGATTTCTTCCAGTCAAGCTTAAGAACATGAAACGAAAAGTATGTATAGGGTCTGTACATAATATTTATGGTGCAAAAATAATATGATAAACAATAAATTGTATTAGATACATATCTAGATAGGTACATATATATATATATATATATATATATATATATATATATATATATATATATATATATATATATATATATATATATATATATATATATATATATATATATATATATATATATATATATATATATTAATGATAAAAAAAAAAGTTGTACAGCACCAGGGACAAATACCAATATTTGTATGGGTATTTACGCATGGTACCTATACGCTACCATTCCTTAAGACTAAGTTGTTATACTTCCGTATTTAGTAATTTTACTAATTTATAAAACGATGCTACTCTATTTGTATAGAACATGCATAAATAAATGTAGAAATGCTCTGGAGATAAATAAAATTCAATAGGCATGTGGAGCACGCCGGTTCTGATAAGGGAAGTGCCCACTTGATAACGCATGATGCACACTGGCGCTGTGTTAAACGCTTGGTTGACTGTAGAGTGCAATGCATTGTTCTATTTGTGTTTTGTTGATCACAGTAAAAATTTAATCTTTTACCCGACTGTAGAAAGATTTTTTTATGTACGTGATAATAGAATAGTTATCTCGCCTGTGGTATTAGTTTAGACTGACGTAGCAAAAGTGAGTATGATAATTATGCCGATGAAGTCAGCTCAGTTAGCCAATAGCAGTAAATTTATTTCTCGTGGTGGTGGTATATATTTATTTATTTATTAAATTTAGTATAGAACATTATTCGTGACAGAATAAAAATATAATTATGTGTCACCGATTCTTTTCGTCTCCATGAATAATAATATTTTTGTTTCATACGTAATTTATTTATTGATAATTAAAGATTTTTTTTTATACAACTTAGAATGGCAAACAAGCTGACGGCCCACCTGATCGAAAGTGGTAACCGTCGACTATAGACATGAGCAGTACTATGGACATAACAGAGTATACTGTTTCGCTCATGATACCCCCCATGTGTTGTCATTCTTGAGGACTCAGATGTTATTCTTCTGTACCCTGTAAATTCACCCCATATCTCACCTTTCAAACCGAAACATAGCAATGCAAACACAACTGCTTCACGGTAGAAACACGAATGGGACAGAGGTACCCAATCAAAGCAATCGACTTTTGTACATAGTCTCCCTCAGGTAAAAGTAACAATAACATTCTCTTAAAATACAAACTGTAACTAAAAGTATAATGATATAAAAATAAATAAATGACAAGAAATTCGACCACAATTGTGAAATAAACATAAAAATAATTTTAAATTTTTTGAAAAAGTGTTATATTGAGAACTCTATACGGGGTTCGAAAATTTGAAACATTAAATTTTATTTTATTAATTCCTCCTTTACCCGTATCTTTATAAAGTTTAACTGCAGAATTCAGATTTGATCTTACTTGTGTCCATGTCTAACAGAAACAGTATAATTGATTATTACTTAAAATTTATAGGTACAGTTTCAAATATTCGTACGTTTGCAGGATTTAGTTTCTTACATTTATTTAACGTTTCTTGTATGTTTGTATAAATCATTAATATAAATGACAACGTGTCTGCAGAATAACAACACATTATCGGAAAATAATTACTAATCAATGACGTACCTATCAACTCGATATATGATACGTTTTATCTATCTAGTTACATTCATTATGTTTTACATTTGAACATATAAATCTGTAAATAAGAATTGTATCTACAGAGTTAATTGTAAATCTCCTTCAACTGGGTATATGAATTACTGTATTAAAAAGTATTACTTTCCTCTGTCACCACCAGTGATTTATTTATTTCGATCAATGCCGTAACAAGAATAAATATAAGTACCAATCGAATATGTGCGAATGATACGGACATAATGTTTGGCGCAAATTTATCAAACGTCGAACGGAAGCTCGGCGATGCGCGCATCTCAAACCGCATCCCGTTTCACTCCGTCCTCCAATCGCCTCCGACCTCCGACCAAGTGGACCTCCGTCCGTACCATACCTCAGTTCAGTCAGTCTGTCTGTGCATATTGGAACGTACGGACGTACGTCGCCGCACCGCGCTGCCAGGACGCGAGCTTTCGAATTTTACCTTCCTTACCTGTGGATTTTCAGTGACATGTGTTTTTAAAAAAAATTACACTATTGTGTTTTAATTTTGGATTAGCTGTGTTCCATTGTGGAGTTCACAGTTCCGTGGTAAACCCATACTCAAGGTTGGTGTTATGCCTTGCGAATAGTAATGTGATTCGATGCATTCGGAATGTCACGGAGCCGGTCTTTATGAAGTTCGCAAGTTCGAAGTAAAGGATTCTTGCATTGTGGAATCTTAGTTCTACCTATTGGGTTCATTGACTGAACAACTGGCTTGCTTTTTTAATAGTTTTTTTTTCTTAGATCGGCGTGTAGCGTGGGAGATTCTGCGTGCGGTCAATCATTAGGTAGTTATAAGAACAATAGTATTGAAGATCATTTTACTATCATTTATAGATTATCCGTTAGCAGATTAATAACTGAGATGATTTATTATGGATCTTTAATCAAAGAATGTATTTGATTCAAGTAAAAGATTGGTAACTACTCGATGCTTGTTAATAAAATTAAGATATCTAATAAGGATCAGATGTGGGTATACATAGTCAATAATTTGTAATTTGATTTTAATAGTTTTGTATGATATTATAATTATCACTACCTTACCTTGTTTTTCGTTTCTTATGAAAGGCAGAGAATTGACCCTGTCTTTTATTACTTGGGGTCTTCCTCTTCCATTGATCCTTATCAGCTGTCATACTTGCATTCAGTGTATGAGATTGCTCTCATGACTTTAATAACATATTAACGTCCCACTGCTGGGCTTGGGATATAAGAGGAAGATATAGCTTATTATTACTGTGATTCCCAGACGGCATGGTATTTAATGAATAAATATGTAATAGTATAGCCATATAATTAATGGTATGTAATGGTGAGGTCTCAATGAGGGATGAAACAATGAGGATGAAATTAGATCAGATGGAGGTTTGACATTAAATTTTAAATTATTCTTTTGTGTTGGCATATTTTGCTTGTTGATGATAAAGAAAATTACTTTAACACCACTTCTATTATCATCTATGTTTAGACAATTAAAGAAACATAACACAAGATATTATTGCAAGAGAAGGAAAATCCAGGATTAAACACTATACCAAGCCACTTGGCCGACATGATACCATTAGTTGTTGAATGATGTCTTCGGAGTTCCTACATTGTCTTTGTTATACTCGAAGGTCTCCGAGGTGACATGATAAATAGTAAATATTCCTACTAAGTATTTATCCTATTAAGAGCTCAGTAATAGGACATTAATACAAGTAAATTCACATACAGATTTTTCACTTAAGTGTTCCAACTATGTAGAAATGTAATTATATATGTGGACACTAAATATTTATTAATGTATACCGGTTTCGTATATGTACACTTATGAACTGTTTGTGTTGGATACGGCACGTCTTAAGATTAATGCTGTTTTATATTCATATATTCTTTTAGTGATTGTAAAACCTTCCAGTGACATCGGTTTTCCTCATAAGTAATGTGTACTAAGAAACAATCGAGTAATAATATTCGGAAACTAATAACCTATATGTATTTTTTGATAACACTGATTACTTATATGCCTGTTATATCTATGAGTATTTTTCTTTTATCTTTGCCATTATCACATTATCAAAGACGATGAAAATATAATTCCTTTTTTCGTAATTTGTTTTTATCTATAACACTGCGGCAATTTTATTTTGTAATATAAACACAAAAGCAGATAAATATATTTAGTTAGACAAATGACAATTTCAGGTAAACTGTTATATACCTGGAGGTCTGGATTCAGTTTCGTGTTTTCGATCACACCGAAATCGGCCCAGTAAATGGAGCTTAACATTTCGCTCCTCATAAATCCTACCATAAAAGTCCAAAGGAACGATGTTTTAACATTTTTTAATATTTTTAAACAGCATGTATCATGTAATTTTAACAGCAAATTTGTGTTTTGTTCGACCCCGAAACTCGGAAAACATTTAATGATAGGCCCTCTGGTTAGTTGATTTGCATTATTTTGTTTAATTCCGCTACCACAAACAAAATAATTATAATCAATTAACCAGTGATATGGACTTCCGCAAAATAACACCTACTTTAGTAAAACATTCTATACCTAATAAATTAAATAGTGGAGGTTTAAAATTTTATAGTCATAATTTTAATTTCTTTTAACAGAACCTGCCTTTCCTACGACTGCCCGTATTCTTACGTGTTACTCTAGAATATGATTTGCGTACTAAATTACTATTAAATTTGCTCAGCCGATTAAAAGTGATTATGTAACAAACAATAAAATTATCGTTACCATTACATTAGGACCTTATTTTTTGTATTTTATTTAAGTAATGAATTATCATTTTTGCGCCTTTTAAGGAACAAAAAAATATTAAGTTTCTGTACAATACAAGTCATTTGTAAAAATGATATCTTAAATATTACATCACTCAAAGTCTCTGTTAATTTTAATAATTTTTTTTCAATTACTTTTAAATATATAATAAATGGAATTAATTTACTAACTTATTGATCCAATACTAATTTTGCCACGAAATATGGCACTGTTTTTACGTATATTTTGGGAGCACGATATAAAATTTTTAAAAGACGACAGTTTTTTTTTAACAACATGCCTATTTTCTGATGTAGAATTACTAAACAAAACTTAGTAACTGTCAGATATATAGGTTAAATAAATCTCCACGAAGCTGTGCAGGATAGTCATTAATAGCGATAGTATAACAAGCAGGGCAAATACGTCTGTTTACTGCACACTGACAAAATTCTGTTTTTACTATTTCAAATGTAATTATTAACTCCATAATTTCTAAATGTCTAAATTCCAAAAATGAGCTCGTTCGTAGGATACTGTTATAGTACTTTTTATTTTTGTATAAATTTAATATAATTCCTTTTAATTTTATGTTACATTTTGTTCTCGTGGCTTCACTCATGTGGTTTGTGAAATATACATCGAATGTCATGATTCAGATTCAGTGATTGAGTCTAACACATTAAATATCTTAATAATATGAACATCGAAATATCTTTATAAACTTATACCTTTTTAATTATTGTATGAGATAGCTTGATAGCATGACGCGTGCTCAAGTTATGATCAATATACTATGAATCCTAAATATATAACAGCCTGTTTTTAACAAGTCGTATAAAAAAAGCAACTACTAAGAAGAATATTGACAATTCGTTTATTTTTTTAAATAAAAAAAATAAGTTAACTAATAAGAAATTTAATAACGACTCCCAAAAAAGAGTTGATTATTACGAATACTGTTTATGATCTTAGAATAGATGAGAACGTAATCAAATATTTCTAAAAATATCCAGATGAAATCATGTTTGAAACAAGCATTAAAATTCATTTAAGTTTACATTGGTACTATAAAGTTTGTAGACCTATGTGTCACCTACGTGTCGGTTTTCAATTTTGCATTTATTTTAAATAACACTGGAAATAAGGTGGAAATAAACTTATAACTGATAGAAATTAAAATAAAAAAAAATCAGAATACAGCATTTTAATAATATTTTTCATCGAATTTATTTCGAATAATTATATTCCTTACTGAAATATAATTATTAGAAATAAACGTCAAATGGTCGTCAACAAACATAATTACCCTAGGTTCTTCGGGAAACCAATTTATCTCATCAGACACTAAGTAGTTTATTTATAAACTTGTATTCTTGTCTAGGGAATGTTTGTTGTTTTTGGCATGTATCATTAATCTATTGCTATGTTTAATGTGTACCGTTGTCTGAAACTGTTTGATTATGTATTTGTATATATAATCACTGCTACTTGCAATCTCGTCTCAAATGAAACTAATAGAGTAAATTAAATATACTTATTTAGCTTCTCTGAAATTTGATACTACTTTGATAATAATTTTTAAATTAAGGCTGGCACATGCAATATTAACATTGTCTGTCAAATATAGAATACTTAGCAATTTTTAAAATTTGGGAATGATATTTCATTACAAACTGTAGATCTACCAATAAATATATTAATTCCACATATTGGTTTGAACTGTTTTGAAATCTTACTTTTATATTTTAAAATGAATTATCATTTTAGAATATAATAATATAGAATATATAATAATACCTATGGGTATACGTGTCATTGTAGATACTATATGTTTCAGTAATAAGTAAATAACTATTATTATATTGATATATTTTTAGAAAGATTGTAAAAATGAAACTTAATTACTTGTCTACCATATATATGTACAGGATAGCTATGAGTTTTTTACTCACAAATAGTGAAAATAAAACATTACTTTGTAATTCGTTCTTACAATTTGTTATCTTTATTTTTATCTTAATGTGTTAGGAACAAACAAAAATGTCCTTGATAAACAACATATGTAACTTTTTATCTATAACGAAGCCGAACAGCGAATTAAAATGCAATTTAGTGACACGCAATAAAAACCCTCTGTGCTCAAAGTATTCATAAAATTGTGCTTTTTAAATTATATATACACATTTATTTATAATTAGACACGTCTAATAGTAAATTGTATGAAATCGTATAATTAATTAAATATTTTTTAATAAATTAAATAGTAATTTCGATAAATATTGTGCGAGTAAAATTTATACATCATCACCATTTCGTAATATAAATTTATAATTAAAACTATACTACAATATAACATCAAAGCATTCAAATAAGTTTCATCCAAGTTAATAATACCTAACAAGCTGTGTGCGCAACTGTAAATGATGTTATGGTATAAAATTACACGATTGTAACTAAACATAAGGATTAGTGTGATTATGTTGACGCTGCGCCTGCGCACAATAAGCCATATGGAGGTTACCGCCGTGTCAAGGGAATCTTATAACCTATAACATTTGAATAATCTTTTATAAGTAAATGTTTACTTTAAAACGTGTAGTTAACAACCGCAGTAAAATTGTGAAGATTATTGTCTCTATAGAAGCCATATTTAAACATAATAATGGTAGAATTTCATGAGACTTCATTTATTCATTATTTATTGCACCAGTTACAGAATGTTATGGAAAATATATTACGTTTATTATTTTATTTTAATTTATTATTACATGTTATATTCCTTTATTAATGATATTC